CACGGGCGGTGTTTGCCGTATTCCCACCTCCTCCATCGGACCGGGCTCAACCGAGCGTGTGAGGCTGCCAGCCAGGGCCCCACGCGTGGAGAGTTATGAACCTGGAGCTGGGAGTAACAGGTGCTCAGCTGGGTTTGTGGGACAGGTTTCTGGCAGTTTTAAAAGGATAATGCTTCGTTAAAAAAAAAAAAAATCAAAATTTCTCCTGCCACGCTTGTTACAAGTGAAGCGCCCTCCCCGTGCTGTGTGTCAGGTGGGATCCAAGCTTTGACCCAGTACCGCACAGCTGCGGTGGGCACCTTCCTAGGCCCTGGCAGCTCTCCCCACCTAGGGTTATTAAACGTTAGTCTATCAACTTGGCTTTAGTGTAGACTTAGAAATAAGAGCTCATGGTCACTGAACTGTTGATGTACAGGTTTGTCTAACTGGAAGGATCCTTGGAGGAGCAGAGCATTGATTGATACCACTTAAGGACGACTTGAAGGTTCTCTTGGGGTAACTGGCAGGAAATGATATACATTAGAGTGTATGAAGAAGTTCCAAAAACTTGTAATTAATAAACTCCCTATAGGCAGATAGTTCGTGTCTCTTAGGACTATCAACCTTGCAACTGAGGCCCGCTCTTGTAAAGAGTGAGGCTTTTACAGATACCACTGAGAAGCTGAACGTGCCAAGAGCCCAGCACCTTGCAGGATCAGATCTTGGAAGCAAGGAGGAAAGCAGTGGTGCTGCGTGCTTACCTTTGAATAAAAGAAAGCCCTGTGCTTCAGCTTTCCTTCTGGGTTTCAGGTAGACTGTCAGGTTACATGCTGCAGGTTAGCTGTTGAGGAGCTGGCAGCCAGGCACTAACTTTTCCAGCCGGCCTTTGACTGATTGCTGTGTTCCCTGCTAACTCCGGGTGGCTTCACTTCCTTGCTTCAAGCTGGAAAATCACTGATCCTTGAGGAAGCACGCAAGGTCAGAGCTGATTTCTGTTAATTGCTCTATAGTAATATCACCTGGCCTAAAAAAAGGAAAAAGAGCCTGTAAACAGAGTACTTTGGATGCTAAACTGGAATATTAAATTCAGTCTCTGTTTTTATTTTTTAAAGCTTTGTTAATCTTCAATCAAAAGCTGTAAGAAATGGGATGTGTAACAAGCACAGAAAGGGTGTTACACTGGTACTTAGGAGAAGGGCCAAAGACCAAGTTCTTGACCCAAGAAAGCATCTAGTGTGTTTGTTCCCTCACCCCTGCAGTGCCTGCTGCAGTTGCCCGCGTGGTGTAACAGGAATTCCTGCTTCCAGAACCAGAGCTAACCACTGTACGGTCTCTGTTGCCCTGCTTGGTGGTATCTTCTGACTGTTTTACATACCTCCTTGCAGGCGTTCAGTGCAGGTCAGGTCCAAGAAAATATAGCTGAAGGAATAAAATAAAAATGGTTCCTTTTTTTTCGTTTTTGCTAGAGTGCTGTGAGTGTATTTGATTCTACGGCAGTATTTCCTTGGGGCTGCCCTGCAAGCACTTGTCCACATCTATAACTTCAGTCTGTGACTTGACTGGGCTATTTACTTGCGTACAAATTATTCGGGCTTGACTGTCTGCAGGGTCTAGTCCAGCATCATCCTCACACAATAATCCAGTGACCCGAAAATTGCAAAGCCATTTTGCAGCAGCTTGTCAAATGGTTGATGACTAGTGTGTCTAAGTGAACTTTTTTCCTAGTGAAATTAGTTTATTGGGGGATGTTTTATGGGAAAAGAAGATGACTGTATTGATGGAGTAAACAGTATGGCTTTGCCAGGCTGCTGATTATCACTTAGACACACACAAAAATTAATTAGTGTTCTGATCAGTGCTGTTGTTCTATGTGTAAGCCTCCAACTGCTCAACTTTTGCAACCTTTCCCCCATATTGGTCAGGACATATTACAAGAATGTAATTTGTCTCAGAAAGTGAAAATTAATATGTATGCCTGTATATTTCAAATTAAAATCATCTTACAGCTTGAAGAGGGTGATCATGAGAAATAAGCAAAGCTGTGGGGTTGTATAGGTTCTTGTTGGTTTTAATCCATTTTGCCTTTGCCAGATTTTGTTGTTGTGGTTAAGCAGGTAGTTTTCCTTGAAGTTGTGGGGTTTTTTTCCTCTCCTTTCTTTACTGCTAGGTAAGGATCCACAAATTGGCTAACAAATAGGAGAGGAAACTGAGTGTATAGAGTCAGATGGGAAATTACACTGGAAAAATGCAAGAACCTGTTATTCTCTTTTTTGTTGTTTTTTTTTTGTGTGTGTGTTTTGTTTGGCTTTTTTTTGTTGTTATTCTCTTTTTAATATAATATTACTATTATTATAGTAATATTTTATATTACTTGTAAGAAAAAGATTTTATATTACTTGTAAGAAAAAGAGATACTTGATGTCTAAAATAATGTTTCAACTTGCAGAAACCTGAATAAGATCACTCAAGGGGGCATACATCTTGGCTTAAAAATACCCAAGAATGTCCCAGTTGAGTGATGAGATGGCACAAACCACTGAAAAATATACAGGACGGTATTTTATAATTGGGCAGTTGTATTAGTGCATGAGGACAAGACCCAAAGCTCACCATCTTGTAGGCTTCTTTACCCTTGTTGTTTTCCTGGACCATGCATGGTACCTTTTGAATCTTATAACAGCACCAAAAGCTGCAAAGGAATGGGCACCAGGTAGGCATGTCCTTGAGGAACAAGAAGGTGGCAGTAGTCACTTCCCTCCTTCACGGTACACCTCAGCCAAGGGCCCTTCAGATTGTCGTAAGGGGAAGCACATCAGCAATCTTGTCACTGCCAACTTGGACAAAAGTCAAGCTGGCACTTCTTCAGCACTACTGTGTTTACTGCAGAATTGGGTATGTGTGCTGCTCTTGAACAAGGGCTACCCCCGCTTTCTTCTCGCTGCTAGAAATTGTTAGCTAATATTTAGGCCAGACTACTAAGGGGTTTGGTCCAGGTCTCCACAGATGAAGACTTTTATCAGTGATGCTCTCTGCCAGAACTCTCTTCCCTTTGTCCCAAGGCTGTTGTTTCTCATGGGGAGGTGGAAGGGGCTGACTTCAGCCCCTCATGAGATGAGAGCGGGATCAGATCCTGCCTGTCTGTTCCTCTTTCTGTGGCTCCAGCTGACAGCTTGTAGACTCTCCTTTAGCTGCCCCTTTCATGTCAAGAATAGCCAACAGCCCTTGTCTTAAGTGGAAATTGATTCTCTGCATTGGTTTCATTTGCAGGATTTTAAGCTCGAGTTTGGCCATCATCAAGGCAGGACAAGTTCTGTCTGGCATGGAGGTACAGCTACCATTGTTCAGAGCCCTGGAGACGAAGTGTGGGGAATAGTGTGGAAAATGAACACTAGCGATTTAAGTTCACTGGATAAGTAGGTGACTCAACTTTTGCTGTCTTCTACTATTTTAGAGAACTATTGAAAAGGGATAGTTAATTTTTGGTAAAAAGCTGTGTGGAAGCTTTGGTGTAGGAATCAGGAAGATGCTTTGGATTTTAATATGTGAATTTAACTTCACAATGCATGTATTGGCTTCTAACACATTTGTGATTAAAATGGCTTTGTTTTCACACTAAAGCTATGTAGGGGTATTTTAATAAGGTGTGGACCTTGATTTGGAGCTTTTTTTTTTTTTCAATCCCTGTCCTCACAATGTCCTGTCCCTTAAATTACTCTAAACTCTGTATTTGTCCTGTGATGCTTTTCCCATTGCTTTATGGAGAGTTTCCTTTGAGACTATCATCAATTTCTGCCTCTGTACATAGGTAGATTTCAATTGTAGCAGAAAAGGAAGGGATGAGGATAAGACTTTTCAGAAGAGGAGGAGATCTTTAATACATGCAAAGGGACCTTTTGTGGATGTTATTTGGATGTCTTCTCTTTTAAGGATTCAGACTTTTGTGAGTTGAGGTAGATCCAAGCAGGGAGCTGGGGTAGTTTTGTTTTTCTCTTTGAATGGGAGAGGCTGCCTGCACTATTACGATGCATGGCGGAGAATGTTCCACCTATGCCTGATAATTAAGACAAGTTAAGGCAACCTGAGCAAGTCCTTTCCAGGCTGAAGCCTGGAGAACCAGCTGGGTGAACAAATCAAGGAGTAGCATAACTTCTTGCAGGGTCTGAGGCAGGACTTGAAACTTCATCTCCAAAACTTTGGCTGGTGTCATGTGTTGGTTGCAGCTTTTGGCATGCGCCTGCACAGCATGGTGCTTCTGATACGCAAGGATCATTTGTTCAGAGCAGTTCATCACTGTCAATTAATTCCAGTAGAAATCTGGGCTAGTGAGGCTAAGGAAGCAGGGCATGTTAAACCCACTGAAAGCATTACATTAATATAGTTCTCCTGCCTCTGAGATTGTTGCAATTTTGATTATGGCTGCAGTGTGCTTTGTAGACATGTCCTTATAACCTTGGCCATGAAACTTGAAGTTCAAACTTGCTTTTCATTGCCTATAGTGAACGTGAAATACAACAGAAACTCTTGCCCAAGTTCTGTTAGCACATCATGGAAATGGATACTCTGAGCACTCTCAAGTACCTGGTTGGGAGTGTAAGTCCCAAGCAGGAGGGCATCTAGCTGTATGCTTCTGGTTGAGGAAAGCTTCGCATGTCCCTGCTTTGTTGTCTCTTCAGTTCTCCTTCTGTTGCTTACACTAGCACTCACCTCCTTGTCCACCCTTTCTGCTGACCTTTATTGAAATCTCCTGATTTACCATGCTTTCCTAAAGCATAAATTTCAGAAGTGTAAAGATGCTGTCTGGCAGCTGCTTTGATAGTAACACTAACTGTTCCCCCTATGGGGACAGCATTATGTATTCTAACTTCTAGAAGTGTTGTTTACATGCTATAGAATTGTAGATCCCTGGCATTTGTTTGACAGGGGATAAACTTTAATGCTGGCTAAGATGCTAGAGACTTGAGGGCTATATGGGAGGATGGACACCAGCATTAAAGATTGCTTTTTCCCAGCTGCCTCACTGATGCTGTGAAAGTGGACTGGAAATAGAAGGAAACAGAATGTGTTCTTGGCTTTTACAACGATAGTCAATAGTGTTCTTCTAAGGATTGCTCCTAACCAACTTGAAAGAGCTTCCATGTGTTCCTGCTGAAGATCTTGGGATTCTTTGGCTGTGTGCAAGTAGATATATTTTTAAGTTCCGAAGCAAGTTATTTCCTGGAATTTTCATGTATCGAGAAAAAAGATTTTCACTATTTGCCTGCTCCCTCCTTCCTTTTTTTTTTACCCTTCAGATCTGGATAAAGAAATTTGTGCTTTGTTATCCAGAAGTAGAGGAAGGAATGTGTAATTGATGCTGCATGTCATTAGTGGAAATACTAGTACAACAATGTAATATATAGAAGACAAATAAGGAAGAGGAATCTTTTGCTTAGATGGCTGAACTTTTTGGCTTCAGATGCATTTTGGTGGATTTTTGCAGTATTATTTTTTTTGTCCTCTGTACTTCTCAAATCTCTAAGTTACAGACTAAATCATGATTTCTCCACGTATACCCTAGCAACGGATGGGACGTTACTTAACTGTAACATTTTTCTGGCTCTCGCACACCCACGTGATTTATTTTGCAGTCTGTTGGCCTTGAATCTGCAGTTAACTTCCTGTCTCTGCTTGCACTTAACCTAGTTAACTCACATAACATGGCCCAGGTTATGTGCATTAAATAAGTTGAAACAGTAGTAAGTCTTTAAAAGAAAGATAAGTTATCAAAATGATATTTTGATGAGAAGCATTAAGACCCATGTTATCACTCATATCTAAAGCACATCTAAAGTTAATTGTACCATAAAGTCTGTCTTGTATTGCTTAAGCTTCTCGTTTACTTCTTACTGTTTTCTCAGACTTTTAGTGGTGGCTAAGGGTTAAAGACAACAAAGTAGCAATGTTTTTGAGTTTGGTTTTGTTTTCCTAAGACAGGATGATTTTGCTAATAAAAAAATAATGAAATGGTTTTTGTCCTGATCTAGCTCATTGTTGCTGTACACGTCTTGTGCAATTAAAGGGTGTCTTGGATTGTTAATTGGAATGTGCATGGCAAGAGTTGTGTGAGTTTAGCCTTATTCAAGTGTAACACAATGGGCAAGATAAAACTTTTGCAATTGTTCCATTATCTGTGTAGAAGGTAATGAATGATATGTGTCTGGCTCAGTAATTCTGATAATCTTGGTCGTGTTTCTCTTGTAGAGTACCAGACTTGCACAGTAATTGATTCACAGGGAGTATTCTCTCTCTAACTTTGCAAGTTAACCACTAGTCATCTTTCTTACAGAGCTGAAATGACAAAGGTGAATGCTGCTGCTGCTTTAGAAACTTATTTTTGGGTATGAGACAAGTTTGCACAAAAAGTACTGGAATATATTTTGCTTTATTTGTTTTTCTTTACGTCTGTTGACAGTGCAGACCAGTGTCCTGCCTTGAATTCTGTTATAATAAATGCATATGTTTAATAAATGCACAGTTTGTTTGAAACATGCATCAGTTATTTGGCATGAAAGGAATATATGTCCTTTACAGGCAAGAGGGCGTTGAAGATGGCATTTATGTCCCTATAGAAGTTAATGTCCACACCCAAGCAGGAAAGGTACTGACCTGTCGAAGCTACCAGATGAAGGACTATGTCTGTGGTCCCCCTTCCCCTCAGTATAAAAAGGTAGGTTTTGCATCACTGTAATTTTGGAGAGAATGAACAGAAATATATAATGCAGTACTTCTGTCCTATTTAATAAGTACTTTATTTACAGTGGGTGGAAGACATGAGTAACTCTAATGTAAAGGTATAACTTAATCCTTGTGCAACGTAATAGTGTAATGTAACTTCTGTAAATAGAAGACTCCTAGCTTTTAAAGGCCTACTAAATCGGATATATTTTTTTGGCTTAGTTATGCTTTACATGAAGCCTCTGTTTAACCTATGAATTAGTTATGACTGACATAAGGATTTCTGAAGGATGTTGTTCACATATACGCAGCAACACTGTTTGAAAAATTGATGTACTCCTAAAAGGACAGAGGAAAACTTCTGTGGGGAGAATACAGCACCTGGCCTGTAGTCTCAAGGACATGGATTATCCCTATTGTCTGAGGAGGTATTTCACTACCATTTAAAGCAGGAGTCCACCTGCCTTCTTTTATCAGATGCGTCATCAGTGTATCGCAGGACTTCCAGCAGCATTGCGGAGCACAGCAGGGTTCCGACTTGAGGGCCGGTGAGGCAGAAGTGTTTCAACACTGTTCTGCAACACACTGACTCTGCAGAGACACATGATCCGGTCACGCAGCAGGCCTGACCTGCTTGGCTTGTGCGATCCGGTGATCCGGTGCGGGCCGAGCCTGGGGGGGCATGACTGCGTGTCTGGAATTGTGAAGCTATTAGCAACTGTAGATAGGCATCACTGTAACTTGTGTTGACTTTTTTTCTACCGAAAGCAAAGAAATAGGGCTTGAGCTTGTTAAATCCCAAGTGTGTTCCTCCTCTTAACTGAGGAACTCCCGTGAATCAGCTTCCAGGAGCATAGCTAAGGCCAACTGCTGCAGGACTTCTGAAGAGGAAGCGTGCTTAGAAAGCAGTCTCTGCCGCTTCACAGACCTCCTCCTGCCTTCCTGCTTCCTGGCAAGACAGATCTTTAGGGCTTTTCAGGGAGTTAATTCATAGTCTGCTGCTGTGTGTCAGCTCTTACTAGTACGCTGTAAGAGCAGACTTCCAATATTGGCAACTTTATCTAGCTGAACGTTCCCTCCTGCTGTTGTCAGGGTCAGTTGTTAGTTCTTCTCTTCCCTCTTGCCCCCAGCTTTCGTTTAAGTTTACCAGGCAGGAGGGCTAAAAACGTAGTACAGGTGACTGCATCGGCACGCAGTGATCTACATCCATCTACTGCTGTGTACTTCTTGTGGCAAAGTTCATCCTTTCTAGACACCTCATCCTTGAATTTCCTGGCTGTGGAATGCATGGAAGAATACAATAGCATCAGTTTTTTTACTCTGCATATTTAGCATTTCTTCATTTCTGTATGGGAACTTGCTGGTGTCTCTTTCAAGCTTTGACTCCTGCAGCCTCCTCTTTTCCTCTCACTTTCACTTATTTTCTCTTGCACCAATACTTATTTTGTTTGTAGAAGGAAAGCTGCAGTAGCAAACTGTAAGGAATCTGTGCTTTTTCACTAAGCTAAGTATCTGTTTCTGTTACTCCTATAACCTGTTCAGGTACTTACTGTTGTGCTTTGGACTTGAACAGCATAATTTAAAAAATAACTTCGATAATACATGCTACTTCTCACTCAGATGTGATACTAAGGCTGGCTAAAGGCATAAAAAGTAGTTCTCATGCTCCCTGGAAGAAAGAATGGAATAACTGAGTAACAGCTTATTTGTGCAGTCTTTTGCACATTAGTAGCATTTCTGAATCTTAGAGGTATGCCTTGGTAATTACAAGAGTAATTTTGTTGATGCTATTGAGGTCTTCAGTGGTCTTCCAGAAGCCTTTGGCTATCTTTAGGTACAAATAGCATTATTTGAGATTAATTCTGTTATTACTGTAAGTGGTTCTTCCTGTATGAGTAAATGTTTGGAGGGCTCTGTCCTTCTCAACACTATTACTGAAGGCTTTTTTTTTTTTCTTACTTTTGATTACAGGTTATCTGCATGGGTGCAGAACAGAATGGCTTGCCAACTGACTATCAGAAGAAATTAGAAGCTATTGAAACTAATAACTATGCAGGACCAGTGCCAGTCATGGAAGAGATTGAAGCTGCTATTAAGCAAAGAAAATAAATCTGCATAGAATACCTCCACATTTGCTTGGCCATTCACCTTGATTTAGATATCTCTCCTCATCACACTGATCAGCAGTTTCTTTATTTATCAGGAAAAGATGAGTTTGCTGTGCATTCACAGTAAGCCATTAGACATAATTTGCAGTCTGAAGACACGCTGACATTGCTAACTTCCTCACTTCATATGTATAGCTTGAGTACATGCTGAAATTTTCGCAGATTTGGAAATTATCTTTCTGTAATGGTCATGCAGTGCTGCACGCAAATTTGTTCTTCATGTCCTCTTTACAGACCTTTTTAAAAGAAACAGGCCATTTTGATGGGTATTGGCATCTCTTGCCTTCCGAGGAATAAGGGCTTCAGGATCAGGCCCTTTGTTCTTACATGTTGTGTCACAAGTATCAAGATTAGTTAGAGTGCTAAGTAGACTCATAACTCAAAACCAAGACTAAACTTTTTTCCTCTGCTGCTTCTCTTAATGGTTTAAAGCCCAACCTATCTGAAGCTACAGAGCTCCTGTTTCTGTTTGTATAGTTAATGAAGAATGCAGAGTAATTTTTTTTAAACTATTTCCATGTTTTTAAGTGTTAGTCCAAAAGGTACCTGAGGCCTGAAGACAACATTCAGCAAAGGATCTCATTCAGAACATAATGGCCACTTCCCTTCTTTGTCTAGTCATCATCATAGGTGAACTTGTTAGGTAGAACCAACACGTTTTAAATTCATTTTAGTTAGGTAATTCCAAGGTTTTTTAAATGACCTTTTTGTCTGGCATATTGCTTATATAGGCCTTGGTCTCATAACCAGTGGAATCAGGAAGTCTCCTGTGAGTCCTAGTGCATTTGTTTCATGGTTTTGTTTGTTAAACCCCAGATGAATAGACTTGGCTTCTTTTTTTTCCCCACAGCTTTGACAATCTCCTGCAAAACTGGAAGCTCTTAGAGTGCTTAACTTCATGGTACTTGGCTAGTCCTGTAGTTAAGTCTGTGGGGGACAAGGAAAAATCAACAACCTGGAAGATGTCAAACAACTGAACTTTGGCTTATCTTCTGTACAGTGCAGGCTTTTTTTTCTTTTGATGTACAGAGGGGTGTAAGATATAATCGGTGTCACTATGTGACTGCTTAGATAAACAAGTGACAAAGTAACAGAGTTGCCATATCTTCTGTGTAAAATTTTTCTGTAAATTTCTGCCAGGGATGTATAGGTGCTGTCCTGATGTCATATTCCCATGTCCAGCTGGGCACAGTGACAGCACTAAAACATGGTACTTTCTGTATTAGCACTGTCTAGTTTGAAACTGAGTAAATAAAACTGCAATTTCCAAACTTCTCCCCTGTCTGTTCAGTGCATGCTTCAAGAATATCAGTGTTGCTTATGTAAGCAAAAGCTGGCCATGTGGGAACGTAACTGAAACTTCCATTGGCTATTTATGTTTTTGAATGGATGCAGTTTCAGTATGGAGGGCAAACCTACACATGAACACGCTCCTCAGCATCAGCAGCACTACTTCTGCTTTACCCTTAACCACACTCCTTTGGGCTTTTGAACTTTTAAATGAGTATTTTACTCTTGCAAAAAGAAAACAGAAGATATCCTGACAGCTTCCTTGGGGGGAATTGACAGAAGGGACTTGATGCCTGCTGTCGAGGAAAACGGTGGGAGCGCCTGAGGGCCGGGGAAGCCTTCTCTCCCGAGGCGGGACCCCCAGAGGTCTTCCACCATGCCGGCGTGGCGAGAGAAAGGCAGTGTTGGTGAAGAAGAGGCCTTCGGTCATGCCTATGAAGGGAGGAGCCG